CGACCGGGCGCAGTGCTGACGGGCGCCCAGGCCTTCTGTCCGCGTCCGCTCAGCCCTGGCCCACTCGCTGCGCCTGACCTGTGGATTTCTGCTGTCTGCACAGAGGCTGCATCTTCCTGAACCCGGAGGGTGCTGGAAAGTCTCCGGCAAGTTTCTTCCGGATCCTGTACTGAATGTTGAGAGACTCTCTTCCTCCGATTGTCCAAGGCATCGCCTTCCCTGGGAGGGGGCGCGGGTTTGAGCTCTGGGGCCCTGGCCTGTCCACGCTTTCAGCAGGGACAACGTGCACCAGCCCGCACCCGCCTCCCGGCCCCGTGGCCCGGCCACGCCGGAGTCTCCTTCTGTGCCACACAGCAAAGCCTCTAGCGGCTTCTGCTTCTTGCGCAGCTCTGCGGGGCTGGACGGCTCCACGGATCCTCACAGAGCAGGAAGGGGAAACCGCAGCACTGCGGCTCCCCTCGGCCCCGCCCAGCGTGATTCTCTCGCTCTTGGGAGCCACTGCCCGCTGCGGGCCGGACTACCTGAGCGCGGCGTCCTGTGGGCTCTGCCTCAGAGTGACTCAGGTGGAAACAGGAAGTGGGGAGAACGGGCGACAGGTAGCTAGCTGCACCCTGCGGCAACCTGGGAGGAAGAGGCGCCGGCTGCACCCCGCTTGTTGTTCCAGGACTTGGGCCTGACCCCAGGAGGGAGGAGAAAGAGAAGCGTCTCGTTACCACTTGTCACACTGGAGTCCCCGAGCTGCTGATGTCTTGGTCTTTGTTCCCCAGGATCAGCCCTAGAATTAGTTGACCCCAACCCCAGTTCCTGAACGTGGGCAGCTGAGCCCTGTCGTGGAGAGGGCAGGGAACTGACGCGCCTTGCCTTGCTTCAGAGATGAGTGAGCATTCAAGCAAAGCTGTTCAAGAACTGCTAGCTGGTGATGGAGAGGTGAATTCTTGCCCCTGGAGAGAGCTGAAATTACTCTAATAGTAAGGTTTGAAAATAAGGTACACACAGCTGCTACGTTCATGCCAATTATAGGCGTCAACCAGCTTCTAGATCAATTAGTCTCATTCCAGATCCCACCTCAAAGGTTTCCTTTCTGCTCACGGTGTTTCTCAGACCGTGCGGCTCTGGCAGTGCTCATCAGTGTTTCTCCCAGGACACGCTGACCTGTGGGTGATGTAGACAGGCAGCATCGGATTCAGGACAGCGCGGAACAGCAGAAGACGGCAGCAGCGAAGGCACCTGCCTGGGTGAACTTGCTTCGCTTTCAGACCCTCAAGTTGTCAGATTCACATGCAGTTAATTTCCCTGACAAATCGTGTTTACTGAGTTCTTAATAACGTTTTCGCTCATCAGCAAATGACCTCTGGAGTGTGTGTGCTGTAAGATTTGTCCTTAGAACACAACCATGACTTGCTAAACTCATGTAAGCATCTTCAAAAGACAGGCCAGACAAGAATTGCAAACCAGTTCACCTTGGCCCGGGGTGCCCCAGCTTGGTGTGGCTCAGGGGTCCACATTACAAATGATCTTTCTGCCCTTCAGCGGTTCCCACAGGGAGGTGAGGGGGATGCCTGAGATGCAGGCACTTCGTTTTCCAGGACAGACTTCTGGGATTGTTGCTATTCTGGACGGGGCAGGAAGAAGGTCACAGTCTCACAAGAGAGCTTCTGGGGAGAATGCTCTGGAATGTCTTGTCTACCAACAAAACCTGTCCAGCAGCCCTTGGGAAAGGCGGCCCTCAACTGGAGTTTAACATACTCAGACACTATGATCCACCCGAGGGAGTAAGTCACACCGGGAGAGGCTTTCCTGCTGCACGGCCGTGCTCCCAGGGCCTCTAAGTGACCCCAGGCGCCGAGCGGGAGCGGAGAGGACAGCTGCTCCCACGGCCCCTCTCGGACAGGCCGTGGTCTTCGCGCCGCGGCCAGCAGGTAGGGCCAGCCTGTGTTTGCCTCGCCTTCCGGCCTGGGTGGCTGGGTGGACGCGGGAGTGGTCAGGCGCAGTCCTACAGAAACTTCGAAGCAGTGGGAGGCGCTCCACAGCCGCGTCCACTAACACCGTGACCACAGGACCACCCGGATTTCAGAGATGCCCACCGTGAGGTCACAGCCTCCAGGCTGCAGGGAAGGGCCCGCGCTGAACAGGGCCGCCTGGGTTCACTGCACTTCACGGACGCCGCGTTTTTCACAAACTGCCCCAAGTCTGGGCACCGTTTCCCCAACAGCCCGCGCTTGCTTCACCGCTCTGCCGTCTCCTCAGGCCTCTCTAGTCCCGGAGACAGAAACGTGAAATCAGGCTGATCAGCGCCCACACGGCGGCCTCTAAAGTGCTCCCGAGGAAGGGAGACCCGCCCCTCCCGGACCAGGAACCCGCAGGGCTGGCATGGGGGGGATTGTGGGGGGCAGCGCGACTCCCAGAATCCTCATGATGCCAAACTCGCCCGCCCAGCCAGAGGGGATTAAGCTCGTGAGGAAGGTACGTGGAAAGCTTAGCCAGGCCCGCGCGGGGCCCATGCCAGCCAGCGAGCCAGGCTGTGAAGGCAAAGGAAAGGCTCGCGAAGGGTCAAGCGGTGTCACCCCAGTCAGCACGCGGAGGCCGAGCTGGCAAAGCAGCCACGCGCTGGCCCGCCAGCTGGCCGGAGGGCGGTCGGCCAGCCCAGCCACCCCCTCGGCCCACGGCTCCTGCAGAGCAAGGCCCAGCTCTTCAGTCTGTGCAGGCTCGGAGAGGCCGCAGCTAGCTGTCGGGGAGAGTTTTGAGACCGGGAGCGTCTGGTCTATGAGGTTTAAGTAAAAAATGTTCCATGACAGGGAAATGGCGGCAGGGCAGGCGCTGACGTGTCAGTGGTCGCTACAGCAGTGATGCCAGCGGCGCCACGATTCTCTCACACAGGGAGAAGACGCGGGGAGCTCATGGCTGAGAGGAGTCAGCGCCTGCCCAGAGCTCCCAGGGCAGGGGCCAGCTGGGCTAGGAGCTCCACGGAGTCAGCGCCTGCCCAGAGCTCCCAGGGCAGGGGCCAGCTGGGCTAGGAGCTCCACGGAGTCAGCGCCTGCCCAGAGCTCCCAGGGCAGGGGCCAGCTGGGCTAGGAGCTCCACGGCTGGGGACTGTGGTCGGAGCCAACCCTTGTCTGCCGTCTGGACAATCCGGCTCTTAGACTGGTCCTCAGCCTGCTCAGCCTCACGCCACGTGGGACAACAAGCCCCAGAGCCGCACAGCTGCTCGCAACATGGCCCACGGAGCATTTCAGTGAGGCCCACTGCTCAGAATAAAAAAAAACCTTGTAAAACATTACTGCTCGCAGACAGGCGCCTGGTCGCCCTAGAGCGTGGAGGAGGTGGGCGCAGACACTGAGCTCGTCTCCTGCTCCGAGTCACCCACTCCACAGCCTCTGGCCGAGGAGCTATTCCCACGCTCGGTCTGGCTGATTCGGACACGTGCTTTGTAGGGCTATGGAGCCCAGAGGTTTCTCCGATGGAGCCGGAAGTCGGCGGGAAACCTCGGGAAGGGAAGGACGCGCCAGGCTGGATGCTCCAGGAGCCGGCAGGAGTCGTGGGAGGGTGGGGCGAGGCCAGGCGCCAGGTGAGCAGGTGGGGGGGCTGCCTGCAGGGTGACCTGGAGGGCCCAGGCTGGGGGTGGGGCGGGCGCTGGGGCCCCTCCAACTGGGACCGGAGTGGAGCCTGGAGCCGGGCTGAGCAGGTCCATCTCCTGGCGGGGCTGACCAGGCGGGGTCGCTGCTTAGCGGGGAAAGCGCTCTCCTGGCTTCTGGTGAGACACAGTGGAGCTCACGGGAGCGGCTGTGGACATGGGGTGTGACACAGAGGGCCGCTGAGGCCCCAGCAGGGCTGGCAGGATGGGCTCCCGTCCCGGGGCTGAGGGCACACAGTCAAAGCGTGCTGCAAGGGGTCTTCCAGGAAAGGAAGCGCGGATGGACACAGCACGCGTCGCTGCTGCTTTCGCTCGGGAGACTGCTCCAGCCAGCCCCACCTGCAGTGAGCCCACCTGGCCCAGCCGCTGCGGGCACTGAGGCTTGACCCCACAGCACAGCGACCCCCTGGCCGAAGGCTCGGGCGCTGGGCCGCGCCTCACAGTGACGCAGCATTTTTTAATCACACTGAAACTGCCTGTAGCCACTCCACACTCGCCAGACCAATGAGTAGTGCGACCTACGTCAACATGCACAGAAAACTGAGTTTCCAGGGACGGGCCTTATGGCCCTCTCCGCGTTCCGGCAGGCGCACCACTGCGTCCTCCCCATCTCCGTGGGCCAGTGTTTTGTTCCAGGCGTGGCCACCGGGACTCGAGCAGAAGCTGCCTGCCCTGCCTGGCCCTGGTGGCCGGCCGGGCCCCGCGGTCAGCGCAGATGCAGAGGGAGGTGAGGAGGTGGGGCCGGACAGCTCAGGGATGTCCCGCGCATCACCGGCCCTTCCGCTGGAAAAGGGAACCCCAGAGTGAGTCAGAGGGGCTAACGGCGCAAGGACGCGGCCATAAAGGACTCCTCACAGAGCACAGAGCGCCATGGCCATTACTGCAGCGCGCCCAGGGAACCGCCACAGGTCGAAACAGGCACGTAGATTAAATGCCATCTTTCTCCATGCTAGGCTGTTTTCTAACCATTTTGACCAGCCCTATCTAAAGTTTACTGAACATATCATGCTTAGGTTGTCATTTAGAAACTAGGGATCTCATCAAACCGAACGTGGAAATTAATGACGGCCCGCCCTAAGGTGCACCTGCCCGCGTCTGACGCGTACATTGAGGTCAAAGCCTACGTCGCTAGGAGGAAGCCTTCTAAGTCGGGGTAAGCGCCACGCAACTTGGTCTCCTCACAGGCAGTGCAGTGTGGACGGTGGGGTGTATTCGGAGATTTGGAATGTCTGGCCCCATAAGTCAATTGATAAAAGTTTCCAGCAAAACCTGAGGATGGCTTCAGTCTGTTGTGTTTTATTGCTTAATTAGCGAGTTGTCAAAAGCAGTACTATATAAATGGAGTGATGCATTTCCACCGTGTACTTACTTTTAATCGGGATAATGAGCTGTGGAATGACAGGGAGAATCTTGTTCCCTCCGTGTTCCAGCATGTCGTGGATTCCTTGCCGAGCAAAAAACTCATAGGGAAATGTCATTTCACAGAGCCCGTCAAAAAACAGAGGCAGATAATGATGGTAATCCAGCTTCTCGATTTCTACCTGGAAGGAGAGAGGGAGAAGAAATGCCAGGTGAAAACAGCTGCCCCCAACCCAAGAGAGGAAAGTCTGCAGATTAGTAGGAAGATCTTATTAGCCAATTCATCTAAGAACGTGAAGGCCATCATGTCTTTATTAGCAATCAGATTAAAATCATTGACCTTTAAATCTTTGCAGACGCAAGTCATAAAGAACACACACTGGGAGCACTTTAGCATCTTGGCTACTGTCTTACCATTGGCAGGAATGTAACACAGGAAAGCATTCCAGTCCTTTGTATCCACGCTAATAAGATATATGCAAGAATTTAAAAAATAAATGAAGTCGAAAAATGATCAGCATTAGAATGTCTAACAAAAATCGAATAGGGGAGGCACACGGAGAGAGGCACACAGAGTGAGGCTCTTGACACATGCTCGCTCTTGTCTCACTTGGAAATTAAAGTTCATACTGCTCTAGACAAATATGATAGTGAGGGGTAAAATATGATTTTGTAATGTTCCCTGGAGCCTGGAGGGGGCGAGCAGAATGTGGGTGCCATTAAAAAAGTGGGGAAGACACCCTCAATGTGGAGGGAAAAGGCACACCAAAATCCAGATGTACTCCAACTCTCCTGTCTGCCCCACCACTTCCCCATGTCTGTGTCCTCCACCCTCAGCCATGTCCCCATGACTTCTTAGAACTCCGTGACAGTTTTCAGGGTCAACAGGCAAAGGGACTCCGATTCAAACATACGGACAGAAACGGTGCCTGAGTGCCGCCACTGGGGATTGGGCTGACCCAGAACCCCACCGCCTAGATGGCATGCGTCCATGACCTGATTTAGCCCCTGCACGGTGACAGCAGGGACAGAGACATAACAGCGGTAACAAGGACCCACCTCAGGGCAGGTACAGCAAGCCCACAGAGTGGAGGATCACTCCGGGAGGGTGCAAACGTTCCTGCCTTGAAATGCCCAGGAACACACTCATCTTCTACTTAGCACCTTACAATTAGCAACCCCCTTTACATTCAGGAGGCTCTTAGGACCCCCAAGCCCCCTCCAACTGCTTCCCAGTGCTCTAGCGCTGGGCGTGACGCACTGGCAACAAGCCCACTACCGTTGAGTGTCCACTGTAAGTCTGGGCGATTGGGTCCCTCGGTACCCCAAGCAGGGGCCAGTGTCCAGGCTGGTCGGGAGCTGCCCAGGCCAGCCAGAAGCCAAGCGACCAGGGCCAGTGTGCTGAGGAGCTGGGCCTTTTGAATGGACCCAGATGGAGGCTGACCCAGGCATCATTTTTACTTTCAATTCCTTGTATAGTCGTAAAATTTGTTTATTTGGAGTCTAAGTTGGAATATATGTTTAATTCCCATTTTCTCCATGATTTTTGGGTAGTTGAAACACTTTAGAACATTATTTTGTACAATTAAAGAATTATTGCTACATTATTCAGCTCCAGAAGGTACAAAATGACAAAATTGTAGTCTCTAATTTGAACTTGTAACCTCCCTGTCATCTGTAGTTTGTATTTATTTACCTCTTTGGCATGTTTTGCTAATTGTCTTTCTTTGACCTACTGTGGTAGTGGCACATAATTCTTTTATAAGCACAAGTTGTGAAGTTAGTGCTTTGATGTCATCTAAGACTTTGAGCTTTAATATGTTAGCACTCACTTTTATGCCTGTATCTCTTTGAACTTCTGTCATTTTATTTTTTGGACCCTAGCTTTCATGAATTCTTCATGAATTTTATGTTTCATTGCTTTGTTATATAGATTATTTTATTTACTTTTTTGTTTGCAAGGATTTAAAACAAGGCAGTTAGCTTAGACATCTTTATTGCAGCTACCTCGCAGTTTCACAAACATTTTAAAGCATATTTATCTTCCATAGAGAAATATATTAAAAATCTCCTACTAGAATTATCAGCATGCTAATTTTTCTGTAGAATTCTGTTGATTTTTTTTTCTTTGTGTGGATTAGGGCAGCGATAGTACCAATGTCGTAACGAAACGCCACTGTTTGTGACTGCAGACACTGCTATCGACACTTGGTGCAATAGTTCACTTAGTCCTCATAAAACCTGAACAGGTTGTTATTATTGGAACCCTGATTTTCAGCGGGAGGAAACAGAGGCACAGAGAGGGTTATGTACTTGCCTAAGGTCACAGCTAGTAAGTGCTGAGCTGGGATTGAATCCATGCAGCCTGGCGGTAGGAAATCACCCTGACAGACTATGTTGTTGGGTGCATCAAGGTTTAACATTATTATAGCTCCCTTGCAAAGTGTTCCTATTTCCCTCATGTCCTTATCATCATCATCTTCATCATGAATGTGGTTTGCCTTAGTCTAATGCAATATGTCATAACTGATATTTCTATTATATTTTTTCCTGCGTTGTACTTCCACTCTCCTAATGTAGAAATGTCTAAGTGACTTTTAGATGGATTTGTTTTCTTCTCATTTTGCAATATGCCTTCAAATAGTAAATATCAAACACACATGGTTCCCCTATTTTCGAAGTTTAGAAAATAAAAGAAAAATAATAGGCGAAAGAAAGAAGAGAAAAAGAGGAATAATTGAAAGGCAGGATAAACATAAATGAAATTTTGAGTAAGATTGAGAAAGAAAAGGATTATCTCTGTTTTTAATTCCTCCTAATTTTATTTTGAGATTTTTATCAATTATTTGGCATATCTGTCCTTAATAACCGAGTAACAACTTACCATAATATTTTAAGGTCACAAACATCTTTAAGCATTATAGATATTTCTCTACTTGCTACAGGGTAATTATTTTTGGTATGTAACTTTTTTTTTCTGGTTGCATATATCCTGGGGTTCTTTTTTATTATTATAATACTGTTTCAGTTGATGAACCTGGCCTTGGGGAAACCATCTCACATGCCATTTACAATCAACAACTTGTGTGTGTCTTGTTGTTTTAATAAAATAACTATTTTTAATGTATTTTTTTTCCCGAAGAGTTCCTTCCAGCTACTACACCATATTTCACGTTATTTTCCCCAGTAAATTCAGCTATGTTTCTTCCTCCCTCCTAGTCCCTTTTCCATCATTTCTCTACCATTTCACTGCAGTTGTTTTTCTCCAGGTTACTAATGACCTTCACTTTGTCAAAACCTCCGGCCTCTTTTCCGTGCTCATCAGTACTCAACCTTGTGAAACTATCTCTCTGGAAATCTGGACACCCCCCAACACACTAGGGGACCGCCCTTAATTCCTCTCCTTCAAACCCTATACTCACGTCATCAGCAGCCCAGTTGACTCTCACTCCGGTCAAATACTTACTTTATTCTTTTGTCACCATTTTGCTCAAGACTAGGTCAGCCCACGCCACAGATCACCTTACCTGGGTTACGACGACAAACTCGTGACAGATCTCCATTTCCGCTGCCATCCTAATTCCACTTCCCACACCACTGGGTTCTACTGGTCCAGCAGGACTGTCTGCCCTGTTCCTCGTGACTTCACCCTGCCTCCTGGGAGCGCTGTCTCTGGAGACCCTGGGGCTTTTGTTCCTGAGGCCAGAGAAAATCTCTGGAGACCTCTCAGTGTGGACAGTACTTTGCTGTACCTCTCATTCCGGGGAGGCACCTCCCCACCACCTCGCATACCGTTAGCATTTATGCACAGCCCCGGTCCTTTGCTCATAGCAGTTTCTCGAGTTCTGTAGTTTAGGGCACGTGTCACTGCCTCGGGGTGCCTGGTGCATCACGGAGGCTACTGCACGAGCATTTAAATTCTGACCTTCAAATCTGTCCTTTGTGGTAACTCTCTGAGAGGTGGACTCAGCTGAGGAACGGCCAGATGAAGAACCCAGATGGGCCCCCAGGGCAACAGCAGGGTTCACAGAGGCGCTGGGCGTGATCCCTGACTCGGCGGATCCTGAGGATGTTAGTTTCTGTACGTCTATTTATTCTACAGATAAGAGGCAGCTTTCCCTCAGTGGGAGTGCAATGATTATTCACATTTAAGTCATTCATGAGCATTCTAACCAGGATGGGCTTCTTAGTGTTTCTATTTACTCCCATTTTAACAAACTTCCTGTTGCTCACAGTAGCACTGAATGCAAACATATTGATGTATGTGCATAATTATTATTTAAAAATATTTATTTTTATTTAACTATGCATACAAGAACTGGGGTGTAGGCCAGAGGTGGGAGGGAGGTGAAAAGAATCATCGGAGACAAACTGGGAAGCAGAACAGGTGTATTGATGCAATCCACTGCTGAGGGGAACAGCAGGTGAGACAGGAGAGGTCTGCTGCCCACTGTGGGTCACCTCCTTGGCCAGGGGTTGAACTCGTGCTATAGTGGCTAGCAATAGCTTGATACCACTGAGTGTATGTCTGTAATTAATATACTGGCAATGATAATAAAAATTTAAATTATCTAGAATTTGAGGTTAACTCAAGGTCAAAACTACAATTAATAAAAATATAATGGGCCCTCCCTGGTGGTGCAATGGGTTAATATGCAGCACTGCAAGCTGGCCACAAGCACCTCAGTGTGAGCTTGATCCCCGCCTGCCCCGGAGGTGATCCACAGGGTGCGGCAGACCTCTCCTGTCTCCTTGCTACTCCCCTCAGCAGTGAACTCTGTCAGTCTTCCTATTCTGCTCCCCACTCTGTCTCTGGTGAATCCTCTCACCCCAGCACCTCTGGCCTATATTTCAGTTCTGTATGCATTAATAAATAAATCTTCAAAAAAAAGATAAATTAGGAGATCTCTTATTTGTCTCTGTGTTTATCATATGGTGCATACTGTCTGGATTCTCCTAAATTGTTGGATTTTCTGTTCATTCAGATTTATAAAAGGTCATTTTATGTTTTATCTAGGAGTAAACCTTTCTTCTCTTAAAATAACAAACCAATAATATTAGCTATGTATTTTTAGAATTATCATATAAATATTAGTTTTCAAACTCTTTAAAAGCTGGCAATCTTTCTTCCAAGTTTATGCAAGAAATTCAGAATTAAAAGAAAACTGAAGTGGAGCCCAGA